GCTGAGCAGGGAGCCCGATGCGGGGCTCGATCCCAGGACCCTGGGATCATGACCTGAGCCGAAGGCAGACACTTAACCGACTGAGCCACCCACGCATGCCAATATGATTATATTCTTCCTTACTTCCCTCCCTCTCTCAGTAAAAGCACTATCATCTAAGTCCCAAACCTGTACCCCCTGTGACTTGATTCTTTTTCTTACATAACACGTTCAGTCTAATGACAAATCCTGTTGGGCTCCACCCTTCAAAACATAATGAAAATACGGTGGTTAAAACCATCTTGGCCATTACCAACCTATTTCAAGCCACTGTTACCTACCTCTTGCTTGGATATTTGAAGTAGTTTCCTCACCAGTCTTCCTGCTTCCACTCCTGTCCTTCTGCAGAGATTACCACACATAATCTCATCGTCTCCATTGACTTCCCATTATATGAAGAAGAAAACCCAACGTCCTTACCGTGGCCTACAAAGCCCCACATTGTCTGGCCCCTTTCTAACTCTTTGGCATATCTAGGAATTTAAAGGCTTTTGGTACCAAATGTTAGGATGTGCAGCAACTGAAACTCTGATGCACTTCTGATGGGAATATAAATCAGTAGAGCCGCTTTGGAAAACTCTTTAGCAGAATCTGATCAGCTGAATATATGCTAAGTGACTAGCAGTTCTACTACTTGGTATGTGCTTCCTAGAAACTGGGTATAGAGAATGTTCATAACATTATTCGTAACTGTCAAAAACTGGAAACAGTTCACTTGTCTATCAAAAGAATGAATAGGCAAATTATGGAATATTCATAAAATGGAATACAGCAGCATGAATGAACGGCTATGCACGTTAGTGTGGACAAATATCATGACTACAATATAAGAAGCCAAGCATAAACAAGTACATTTCATGATTCCTTTTATAAAAAGTTCAGAAATGAGTAAAACTAACATGCTTAAAGAAGTCAGGATAGGGGGCGCCCCCAGAATAGTATTTTTTAATTGATACATTTCCAAATTGATCTATTTTCTAACTTAAATATGTCAGAAGTAGACTCCTACTGCTTACACAGGAAGGAAGAAATTCTAATTTTTCAAAGAGAATTTTTTAAGTTGCATGTAAAAACCACAGTTATTACAAGGAAGGTTACCTTTGGGGCGCCTGGGTGGCTCTTGGTTTCGATCTCAGAGTTGTGAGATGGAGCCCCACGTGGGGTTTCGCACTGGGCATGGAGCCTGCTTAAGACTCTCTGTCCGTCTGCCTCTGCCCCTCCCTCCAGTCCACGCACAGGAAGCCTCCTTGCACGTGTGCTCGCTCACTCTCAAACAGACAAGGAAAGTTAATGTTACAAAATATGATCTTAACTATAAATTAACCAGAAGATAAAATTAACAAAGTAGTAATAGCGCCTGTTTTTAGGGCTCTGTTCTGATTTCTGTATCAATATCTTTGACATTTGGAATGTCTTTAGTTATTTAGGTATTTATAGAGTTCTCTTTTAAAGGTTGAAAATTTGCCAGTTTTTCTGTTGTCAGTACCCTCCTAATTATTTTCTCCTGGTTATTTATTTACACTGCTCACCTTGTGAATATGTTACATTGTATTTGTCTTTATTCTCTCTGATAGGATTAACTGTTTGAATGTCTGGTTTATCTTGGGCATTGTTTTCTCCTGTAGAGCTGGGCATTTCACATCAGCTGATGTCATTAGCCTGATTCCTCCCTGTTAATGTAAAATTCACTAAACTGAGTTTTGTGGAGACAAAAACGTTGCGATTGTCTTTTAAATTTCATTTCTTTGTAAATTCTGACCCAAACACCTTTTGTTGCCTTGGCTGTTTTATTCTCAAGGTTATACACAAACACTTTTACTTGAAAAGAGTTGAGATCATGGCCCAGTGTGAGGAGTGGATTGCGGACATCCAGCAGTACAGCAGTGATAAGCGGGTGGGCAGAACTATGTCTCACCACGCCGCAGCCCTCAAGGTGAGTAAGCCGTCCTAACAGGAGCCCTGCTGGCGGCTTCACAAGAAGAGTTGTAGTCATTGACAGAGCCATAGTTAAGTCTGTAGAAAAGGGCCATCAATTTTTGACAATGAGTTGACACTTCCTAAAAAGGATGTTGACAACAACATGTGCTCTGTGAATGACTTTTTTTATTCTTTTCCCTTTTCTCTTTTGCAGTTTACTTTTCATTCTACCCAAGGTCCCCACACCCAGTTCTCCACACCAGTGACCCCGGCTCCTCTCTCTGCTCCCTCAACTCTCCCCTCCAGGCCTTTACTCTCATTTTCACCTGCTCTTGCTAGCTCACTGCCATTCATCTGTAGCTTAAATTTAACTTTATGGAAACCTGCTTTGACTTATAGATCACTTCAGTTTAAGCTTCTATAATACCCTCTGTGTGTTAAAACACACAAGAGTCGGTCGTTTAAGTGATTGAGCCACCCAGGCGCCCTATATTTTTCATTTAAATCATTTTTCTCTGTCTTAAAATCTTCAGATACTATTTCACTCCTCCTTCATCTAGTATACTTGGTCAGTACTAGGTCTTATCATTGCTGCCTTCAGGGGGAGGCTGCCTCCCCTCTCCCCATTATTTCTTTTCAGTTCCCACAGCTTAGTCTGTTTGACCAGCTTCCTTGGACTTAGTTCTCCCCTTCTAGTTCTTTCTGTAGTCCATAACCAAATCGATCTTCCCCAAACCTGTGTTTAGATAGCTCTTTCTTTTAAACAAAACCTTAGTGACGAAAGTCCACCCTTCTTTGGCTTTGCTATGTCAGTTGGCGTCTTGCTTATATCTCAAATTCTTTTGCTCTGTTATTTCTGTGTCGCTCAGGCCTGGAAATCTCTATCCCTGAATCAGCCCAAATTTCTGTCATCCCAACTATACCTTCGCTGCTGAGTGCTACTTGAGAAACATATGCAGCATCTTGGCTTAATAATCCCACAATAAAGACATAGGATTCCACCTCAGCTAAGCCTTTATAATTGTCAAATTTTTCTTTCTCCTTCCCTAATGTTTTCTCCTGTTGTCCACAGGGGAAGGGAAATTGGAGCTAGAGAAATTACGAGTTAACCAGCGTGTTAATATGTTTTGAAACCTTACATATGGCTACAAGTGTGTAGATGTTATTATCTTGTTTATAGGTCTTAGACCTCCAACCCAAATTTAGTCTCTGTGAAGTCAGAGATTATATCTTCCTTATTTTACTCATTGCTTTTATATTGTCAGTGTTGAACACAGTGTCTCATATATAAAAATTGTTCTGTAAACATTGGTTAGTTAATTTTCAAAGCCCTGGTGTGATACTTGAGGTCATCTCTCTCCCAATAGAAAATTATAAACCAAAAATTAATATTTATAGACAACTATCCCCTCTGTTAATATCTCTACATCTTTCTCTAAATGGTAGAATACAAAATTATATAATCTCTCTGGTTCTTCTTTTTCACTTGCTTAAATTAGAAAAAAAATTTAGGGGGGCACCCAGGTGGCTCAGTTGGTTAAGCGTCCGACTTGATCTCAGCTCAGGTCTTGATCTCAGGGTCATGAGTTTGAGCCCTGTGTTGGGCTGCACACTGGGCATGGAGCCTACTTACGAAAAAAAAAAATAGGATGATAAAATTGTAACTGAGGGTTGCTGGAGTGGAGGGGGGTGGGAGGGATGGGGTGGCTGGGTGATGGAAATTGGGGAGGGTTAGTACTATGGTGAGCACTGTGAATTGTGTAAGACTGATGAATCACAGACCTGTACCCCTAAAACTAATAATATATGTCAAAAAAATTAAAAATAAATAAAATTGTTTCTAAGGCTTTTTCTGAGCATTACGTGAGACTATTAGTGTAAAACATTTTGCAGATGTCCTACACAAGACCTGGTACCTGATGAATATTTGTTTGTATTCAGTAAAATAATGGTGGGTTTATTTTCATTTATGGACTTTCTGTCAAAAATATTTAGCCAGAGGGATGCCTGGATGGCTCAGTCAGTTAAGCATCTGCCTTGGGCTCAGGTCATGATCCCTGCTTCCTGGGATCAAGTCCCTCATCAGGCTCCTTGCTCAGCGGGGAGTCTGCTTCTCCCTCTTCCTGTTCTACCTGCTCTGCCTGCCGCTCCCACTGCATCTGCTCGCATGTGCGCGCACGTGCTCTCTCTCTCTCTCGTTAATTAATTAATTTAAAAAATCAATCTTAAAAAATATTTAGCCAGAGACAAGATGTATTATAAGTCAAGACGTTACTGTCTGTAATTTCAAAGTGTATCTACCATACGTGAATGGTATCTTACAAATCATCAGTAATGCTCTCTCTCCTACCCGGGTAGGCGGCATGGGTAGGAGCTGTGCGCATGCTACTCAGGGCTTTTCAGCAACATCAGTTATTTTGAGGTTAGAGGTTTTTGCCCATTTTGTTCACTGCTTCTTACAGTAGCTAACATAAGGAAGGTGCTCAATAAATATTTGTAGGCCTAATACTTTGGGTTTTGTTTTAAACTCAGTGCCTCCCTCAAATGATGTTATGTTAGAATATCAGGGTTAGTAATTCTTATATCGCTCATTTTCCCCTATATAGCGTCACACTGCTCAGCTCCGGGAAGAGCTGCTAAAACTTCCCTGTCCCGAAGGCTTGGACCCCGATGCTGATGATGCCTCGGAGATGTGCAGTGCTACAGCAGGTGCTGAGGAGACTCTAATGCATGATCAGGTCAAACTCAGCAGCAGTAAAGACCTCCCCAGTGACTTCAAATTATGAGCTGCATTGACGTGGACTTCACAGACACAAAGGCTTTGAAGCACAAGCCAAATATGTCAATATTTGTATGTAAGAAACTAATTATGTAATAGTTATTGAAACTGAAACTATACTATGCCCTTAAGGAGATCCAGTTTAATTCAAGGTGATCTTTTCTTTACCTGTACAAGAGTGTAAACTTTTTTGTGCTTTTATTTTTCAATTGTGAGAACCACTGATTGGTATGTTCAACAAATTTGTGTATACAAAGAAATGGATAAATCACTGATATATAAGGGAAACTACCTTAGGAAAGAATGTTTACTGAATGTTTATTTTGTTTTTTTTTTTTACTGTAGAGTGAGGGGTTGTTAACAAAGAATATATATTGGTCATTCTTACAACTACTATTTAAAGTCAGCAACTTTTCACTGAATTTGATAGATTTTATGTTTGGCCATATCTTCATGCTCATCTTTGATTTCTGAAGACCTCCTACATACACTTAAATAAAGGTTAAATGGACATACTCCCTCTTTTTTGATTTATTGGTACATTTTTTTAAATGATAAATATGCCATAAAATGCATTATAGCTGGAGACTTGCACTTGTATGGATGAATTTATTACATTCAACGTATTTAATTTTATGCCTTCTAATTCTAAGATGCAGAAAAAATAAATGAACATGATTTTATTCTATGCCAACATTTGGGCCTGTGAATGTATCCGTTATTTGAATTTAAGTATATGAGAAGGAATGGTCAATTTGAAAAGTCACTCTAAACTGATTTTTTCCTAAAGGGCTCCTTTTTTCCTGGACTCTGGTTTTATTACTAAAGTCACATGTATGTATGAAAACACTGAGGCTCTGTAGAGCAGAGAGCATTCCTCTCTGGTGCTGTTACAGTACGTTCTGTACCTGCCACACAGGCTCATTTTCATGCAAATTCTTCTTAGAGCCAAATAAATAAAGACTTAGGTGTATTAGTATGTCTTGTTTCTAAAACAGTTTGCCATGGTGTGAAATGCTCTTTCTACAAAGAATTGGACACTTTGAAGACCTAAGCATGGGAAAGGAAAGGATATTTTTTCAAAGACCACTGATCACAAAGGAAAAGCTAAGGTGATTTTTGACAGTATTTATATAAAATGAAGTGGTGTGTGGAAACCTTGAATCTGGAGGTGACCAGAAGGAGAAGCTGTATTCTGAACACTGAGCTGCTCTCTGAAGAAAAAGGGGAACTAGGGAGTATGATACTGTCTGATGTACAAGACACAGTGCTCCCTAAGCATGGATAAGGGAGGGGAGATGAAAAGTTGTAACACACACTGTTAGGTGTGGTGGGTGGTAAGCTACATACACCAAGAATGACAAAATAGAGTCAGTTTATGAGAAGAGTCAATTAAATGTCACTCACACACATGCTAGCTAAAATCTAGGTTTAAAATAATCAGCAATAAAAAAAAAAATAATAATCAGCAATAAGAAGTAAAAGGATAGTCGTCAGTCCTCTAGGCTTTTCGTTTTTTTTCCTGTCAGGGTCCTGTCAGGGATGGATGATGAAAGCTGTATCAGGTGTATTGTTTGCCTCCAACTTAGGATTTTATTTTATTTTTTTAAAGATTTGTATTTATTTAATTGAGAGAGCGAGAGCGCTCATGCAGGAGTGGGGGTGGGGGGCAGGGGCAGAGGGAGAGGGAGAAGGAGACTCCTCACTGAGCAGGAGCCCGATGCAGAGCTCAATCCCAGACTTGGAGATCATGACCTGAGCCGAAGGCAGGCGCTTAACCAACTAAGAAATACTTAGACATTGGGACGCCTGGGTGGCTCTCCACTGATCAGGGAGCCTGATGTGGGGCTAATGGACCTGGGGATCATGACCTGAGCCAACACTTAACCAACTGAGCCCCCTAGGCGCCCCTAGGTCTTGGTTTATTAAAAACATGAATTGGACCTTAGAGTACTGGTATTGTTACCAGGATTTTATTTTTAATCACTAAGATAAGGTTGGGTCATTTTCTCCAATTCACACCACTAGTCTTCAGAAAGTTTTATAAGAGGAAAGTAACAATACCAGCGGAGAGCCTGCCTCTCCCTCTCCCACTTCCCCTGCTTGTGTTCCCTCTCTCTCTCTCTGTGTCTCTCTCTGTCAAATAAATAAAATCTTAAAAAAAAACAAACCCAAGACCTAAAAGTCTAAATTTGAGACTGATTAACATGGTTCCATCTAGGATCCTGACTTTGAGCACTCACTTTGGTAATAGGTACAGGTTCCTGCACTTGAGGGTTGAATGACAGACATGGAAACATTATGTTGGTACAATTGAGAGGTTCTCTGATAGAGTTTACAGGGTACTATTGGGAACACAAAGGAACACTTAGCTCAGGCAGAATATTAATGGGCATCGAGATGATGTGGTCAAGAAAGGCTTCCTCAAGGAAGATAGCCTGAGTCTTGAAGGATGAGGATAAAGAAGTTAGGCTCGGGCACCTGGGTGGCTCGGTTGTGTCCGACTCTTGATTTCACTTCAGGTCATGATCTCAGGTTCGTGAGATCAAGGCCTGTATGGGGCTCCGTGCTCAGCACAGAGTCCGCTTGAGATTCTCTCTCTCCCTCTCCCTCTGCCCCTCACCCCGCTCATGCTTTCTCTCAAAAATAAAGAAATCTTTTTTCTTTTTTAAGATTTTATTTATTTATTTGACAGAGACACAGAGAGGGAACACAAGCAGGGGGGAGTAAGAGAGGGAGAAGCAAGCTTCCCACTGAGCAGGGAGCCTGGGACCACGACCCGAGCCGAAGGCAGACGCTCAACTACTGAGCCACCCAGTCGCCCAAAAATAAAGAAAACTTAAAAAGAAAAAAGCAGAAGTTATTACAGACACAGGAGAACGAGGGGAAAACTCAGTAGCACATTGGATTGTAAGAGATAAAGTACGAGGGGTGCCTGGGTGGCTCAGTCGTTAAGCGTTTGCCTTTGGCTCAGGTTGTGATCCCAGGGTCCTGGGATCAAGTCCCACATCGGGCTCCCCGCTCTGCGGGGAGCCTGCTTCTCCCTCTCCCGCTGCCCCCACTTTATTCCCTCTCTCGCTGTGTCTCTCTCTGTCAAATAAATAAATATAATCTTAAAAAAAAAAGATAACGTACGATAGTCAAATGAAATATAGGCTGTAATGTTAGAAAGGTAGGAGGGCTTGGATCATGGAAGACAAAAGTTTCCAAGATAGAAACAGACCTGCCCAAGCAGAGAAAGTCAATTATCATATGGTTTCACTCATATGTGGAATATAAGGAATAGCATGGAGGACATTAGGAGAAGGAACGGAAAAATGGTGGGGGGCGGGAATTGGAGGGAGAGATGAACCATGAGAGACTATGGACTCTGAGAAACAGGGTTTTAGAGGGGAGGGGGGAGGGGGGATTGGTTAGCCCGGTGATGGGTATTAAGGAGGGCACGTACTGCATGGAGTACTGGGTGTTACATGAAAACAATGGATCGTGGATCACCACATCAAAAACTAATGATGTATGGTGACTAACATAACATAATAAAAAAAAAAAAGAAACAGACACGCCCACTGGGTCAACCGAGACACGGGTACAAATCCGGTTGCAGACCTTGAGGGGAGCTGGATAGACAGCTGGAGCAGGCAGCCAGGGTAGCAGAGGACTGGTGCTTGGAGCCTGGGCCAAGCTGATGCACGGATTCCTCTGTCTTGGGCAAGGTGGTCAGAGCATGGCAGGGCTTTGGGTTCATCTAGATTTATAATACTGTAAAGTTTAAAAGAATTTTTTTTTTTTAAGATTTATTTATTTTGGAGAGGGAGCATGAGCTGTATTTTTGTTCCCTAATAGGTGAGCACAGGGAGCTGGCTATGGGCGTATTCCTGGAAGCCATGCCTACGCTGCAATGGTTAGCAATACCTTAATTATCTGTAGAAACAACTGCGAACTACATAAATTTCACTATACCAAAATCAAATCCCCAACTCCCCAGATCCCCCAAATTACCACAGCCACTCTAATGCCATGTGATTGGAGAAGTGTGTCTGCGTGGAAGGCAGGATAGACTTAACTGACTTAAAAATATTTTACTTTAAAAAAAAGTTTTATTAGGATATATTTCCCATACCATACAATGTACCCATTTAAGTGTACAATGGTTTTTAGTATATTCACAGATATGTGTAACCATCACCACCACCAGTTTTTTTTAAAGACTGATTTATTTGAGAGAGAGAGCACATGCGTGAGCTGGGGGAGGGGCAGAGGGAGAATCTCCAGCAGACTCCCCACTGAGTGCAGAGCCTGACTTGGGGCTCCCTCTCACCACCCTCAGATCACAACCTGAGCTGAAATCAAGAGTCAGATGCTTAATTAACTGAACCCCCCAGGTGCCCATCACCGCCAATTTTAGGACATTTTCCTCTAGAAGAAAATCTGTATCTTTTAACTTTATCTTTCACCCCCCTCTTGCCACCCCCCTCCACCCGCCAGCCCAAGGCAATCAATCTACTTTCTGTTACTTCAGCAAATTTTACATAGTCTTATGATCAAGTGGCTACATTGTTAGAACCATTCCCAAAGCCTTGGGAGGGGCCATGAACCTTAAGATTCATTAACCTCTACCTTTATTTTTCAGGAATCCATACATTCAGTTCCCTGCTATTCACAGTTGATTGGATCTAGTACAGTGTGTGTGTGTGTGTGTGTGTGTGTGTTCTTTGAAAACTCTGGTGGGGTAAAAGCTCATTTGGAACATCAGGTAAAGCTGACTAAAACAAGAGAGAAACTCAAGGAGGATAGGATTCAAAAGGTTACAAAGACTTTGAGACTCTTGGAGTTAACTGTTTTTTTTTTTTTTTTAAGGCTTCATTTTTCCCAAGTAGAAAAGCTCACTACTGTCTGTTTGGTGTTTTGTCTCCCAATTTTTTTAGAATGTCTTTTAACATACAATTGATTCTTTCTGTCAAAAGCTTCCTATAGTGTCCATTGTTAGTCTAAGTAAAACAGGGTTTGTTTGGTTTTTCTTCTTTTCTTTCCTTTTTTTTTTTAATTTTAATTTTTCCATTGACCAAGGGAAAACTCAAGAGTTAGGATTGTGGTGTGACTTTATATAAGAAGCAGAAGTTCTTCCAGGAAGCAGTTTAGACTTTGACATAGTTAAACTTCAACACACCAAGAAGGGGGCCGGTGAGGTTAACAGTATGTGCTTGGTAACCATATCTCAAATTTTCCAACTGAGTGGAGGCCTACTAGTCCTAGACTGTATGACCAATGACCCAATAATCATTGACGTTAGACTTTAGCTTAAACAAAATGACCTTCTTTCATAGACTGATAAGGCAGGGAGTGAGTGCTCCCATGAAGGTTGTACAGGGAATCCATGCGAAGTTTGATCCATGGTTTTGTCTCGAACCCGTCACCCGTTTAACAACCTCATGGCCAGCTTGGATTGGAGTGGAGACATACTGGGCATGTGTTTTCACACATTCCCTATGGAATACTCCCTTAGACATCCTGCAGAAAAGGACAGTTCAGGACAAAGCAAAAATACACACACGAAGCAAGACTTCGTACATATAGACCAACATCAGCAAAAGCAGTGCAAGCAGCGAGAAAAGCAGTGTGGTAGGCAGCGTCCAAGGTGACACCGATGGGCCCTGCCTCCTTCCCCTTGCATGTGGGCTGGACACACAGATTCGTGAAGGGGTACTTCTGAGATGAGGTTACAAACAGACTGTAGCCCCGTATTGGATCTCCCTTTGAGAGGAGGCTCCTGCCACATTGGGGGCTTCCCTACAGGGGGGCCATGTGGGAAGGAACTGATGTCTTTGGCCAATAGCCAGTGAGAACAGAAGGCATGCCACAGGATAAGCTTGGGAGAGCATCCTCTCCTAGCTGAGCCTTGTTTATGACAGCCTCTTTGTGAGAGACCCTGAGCCTGAGGCACACAGCCAAACTGCACCCAGATTCCTGGCCCTCAGGAATTGTGAAATAATAAAAGCTTGTTGTTTGAAGCTGCTAAGTTCTATAGTGATTTTTTACACAGCAGTAGACAACTAATACAAGCAAGGGATGGCGCAAGTATTTATCAAATGACGTACCTTGCAAACAGAAAGTTTAATGATCTTATAAAAGACGTAGGTCTGATTGCCAGATGGTGCCACATCTCCACACCAAAAGGTCTGATTTCTTAAAACAAAGGACTAGGCCTAATGACATTATATGAAAACTTACTTCAGGGGCACCTGGGTGGCTCAGTCGTTGGGCGTCTGCCTTCGGCTCAGGTCATGGTCCCAGGGTCCTGGGATCAAGCCCCACATCGGGCTCCCTTCTCTGCGGAGAGCCTGCTTCTCCCTCTCTCACTCCCCCTGTTTGTGTTCTCTCTCTCACTGTCTCTCTCTGTCAAGTAAATAAATAAAATCTTTAAAAAAAAAAAGAAAAAAGTGCACATATTTTAATTGAACAGGTTTTTTTCATACATATATTCCCATGAAACCATTAGCAGAATCAGATAGTGAACATATCTGTTCACTCCCCAAAAGTGTCCCTCCTATTCCTCCCTGCTTTCCTCTACATTTCCCCATCCCCCAGCAATCACTGATCTGCTTTCTGTCATTAGAAATTAGTTTGCATTTTCTAGATTTATATAAATGGACTGGTATGTTCTCTGTTTTTCTGGCTTATTTCACTCAGTATAATTACTTTGGTATTTGTGTATATTATATGTATTTATAGTTTATTCATTTTTATAGTTGAACACTATTCCATTGTATGAATATATCACAGTTTGCTTATTCGTTCATCTGTGCATGGACATTTGGGTCGTATCCAGTTTTTGGCTATACTAAAAATGCTGCTACAAACATTTAAAAATTATTATTATTAAACATGAGATTTGTTAATGAATATGAAAAAGGTTTGAAGGGTCATGAAATGCTCATTACAATCCTGCCTCCTTTTTCTACTTAGAAAGATATGAGATAGGATTAGTTCAAACACATAAATGTATCAAACCTGAAGCTACTTGGAGAAAGATGTCATTTACAGTACAGTTTAAGGTTCTAGAGTAAACACGGCAGGTTGAATATATGCTGTCTCTCCTTCAAAACTCACTAAATTTATGGTAAAGAAAAAAATCAAGACATAACCCACAGGGAAAGAGAAGATGAGATGAGATGCCGTGTTTGGGAGCTAGTAACTGATGTAGATGACCAGAGAAAGCCCAGTCCTAAAAATGCCATGGGAAAAGCTAAGGCAAACTTGTATCTAGACTGAAGAATCCCCGAACAACTCAGCAACTGGGAGCACGAGATACCCCTGGCACTGAAGGTTATGGGGTGGGAAGAGGAAGGGCTGAAATGAGGACTCCTGCAAAACTGAGTCAGTCAGTAGGAACCCCTGCCCACTCCTTCCCTTCCACTCCCCTTGCCATGGTCTCTACAGGGTCTGATATTCAGACTGGGTCTTGAATGCTGAGACTCCTGGCTTTCTTGCTCTGCTTGGCTCTGGAACTCTGGCAAACAGACCCTCACTTATCCAGGTAGGAAATTTAAAAAGTCTCTGAGAAATCTGACCAGCTCAAGAAAAAAGACTTAATAGATGGTTTATCTACCCCTGACATCAGGGTTCCCAGCAGACTGTCCAGCCAAGCCACTCCTAAAGTAGACATATCCTACTCACCAGCTCAGTATCCACTCCATGTTTTTT